AAACATTCAAAATGTATTCGTGTTATTTAAGTTGAGTTAATTGAAGATCATTATCAGTACCATAGCTGTCAAGTCTGTAGAATTACACAGATAGTGTACAACAATTAATTCTGTTAAAAATCATTCCATGTTCTTCGTTTTCTACTTTGAAATTCTATGGTCATTAAAGCAATTACTTATGCCTGTAAGTAGCCTATAGCAAATGTCTGCATATTACTTACCTTAAATTACTGGTCATAACAAAACAAAAGAAATATTACTTTCATATAATATCTTTATTGTTTACAATATATAAGAAACTACAAGTGTCTATTTAAATCGCAATGCAAGTATTAAACATTTACATACCATTCATATATAAATAACACAAATTAATTTTCTTCTTCAATAGTTATTTAGAATTTAATCTATAAGGCTCGTATGCAGAAAGTTTAGCTGCCATATTTTACATTGAATATATAAACTGTCTAACTACGAGTAAAACAAAGCTTAGTGAAACGGACATTATTATTTTTTACTTATATTGTTTCAAGTTTTTGTTTGGTGTATTACATAAATATATAATCATTATAAAATCATTTTTGATAATCTTGTATATCTATTCTAATAAAGTAAAAATAAGTTTGTTTAAAACATGTATCGTGTATTGAACATGTCTTTTAAAATAATTTTTATTGTTTGTTCTGTGATCATAACATGTGATTTCTTCTGTGATTACATTTTAATTTTGATTACATTATTTTTTATTTGCTACCATGTATTTATTTTTTCTACAATATTTGATTACTTCATGATTGGCATGCTAGTGCAGGGAAAAGTATTTTTTACTATTGCCTTTTACTTTTTTGGGTTTTCTGTTACTAAAGGAATTAGTATTGTTTATTTAAGTGTTCCTTTTGTTACGCTTCAATAAATAGTTTTTAAATCCATTACGTTTCCTTCTTCATTTGTATTATACATTTATCCCTGGAAATTTCGTAAATATTCCGCAGCTGCAAACGACCTATCGCGCATGCTCCTTTTTAAAGAAGCAAGCTTGTCTCTGTATTAGTTATTCGCAGTCTATCCCCATTCTAACTGTTGGCAATAATTTGCTCTCATTCCTCCTTGCCCCTTCCCAACGAACACCAAGGGAACCTCTCTTGATGGCATTTCTCTCTGTGCTTACTGTAGCGTACTTTTGTTTTCCTTTAATTCTGCAACGTTCTGACTTGTCAAAGTGATGGTCACTGTTATGAGAAAAATATTGAAAGTTATTAAAACATGAGGGTATTAAATCATTCAAGATTGAGAAATTCTTTTCATATATTGACTTTCGACTGATTACTAGTATATATCACCATAAAACTATACCACATTATTTAAATATGAAAAAAGCATACTTTAAATTGCCAGTAAAGATATGGCATTGGGTCTTGTGACCTCATATATGGTAGGAAAGAACATATAAAGGAAAACAATGTGCATTTGTTTCGGGACAATACACTCATTATACATGTATATTATTCTAAATGTACTACGCTAGTCTGAAAATAAGACTCGCATGATAGGAAGGCTACTCTCTGAAAATGTATTTGATGATTCTTCTTGCTCACTTTGGGGTTGTGTTTCTGACTGACCCATTAATGTATAAACTTGTTTTCGACTAGTGCGGTAACAAAAAGTCCTGCAAATATTGTGAATAAATATGATATTAAACATATATTTCATAAGTATATATACATATCTACAACGTATGATAGATCATAATAGCTTTAACTTATGGCATACATGTAGATAAAAGAGTAAGTTTTCTTCCTTAGAAAATTAAATTTCTTGGCAGTACATGTACTTAGAAATTTAAATGGCACCTCATTAGGGCTGTGTATAATTTGAAAGGTAATAATTGATTTAACAAAACGTTAAAAAGCAACTCTTCAAATCAGATAAGTAATAAAAATACTGGCCAAAGTGTAGTTACAAACCTGGAAGGATCCAACCGCATGTTTAATTTTTCTATCGTGCTATCAATAAACTGTCCAAATTCGCAAGGTGTCACTGTTCCTCTTCCTCTTCTATCATACAAGGTGAGCTCTGAGAAAAATGTTTCTCCCATCATACTGGAGAATGCCCTGACGTTGTATGAATTCCCTTTACAAAACTTATAAAGACTGATCTTTGCGTCTATATTTGCTATAATTGCCTCCCATAACTGAGATGGCCAACCATTCACATACATGCCAGGTGGTGGAAAATGAGAAAAATCTACATGACTTAGTAACCTGTAATAAAAAAAAAATTGATAAAAGCAAAAAAAAAATTAAAGAACCCTGATTGGTAGATTTGCTACTTATATTAAACATTCGTGAAATTAACGTAATTTTCAGAACAAATACATGTAATACTTTATGAGTCAAAATTTGGGGAAGTCAAAAGAAATGTCAGTACATGTATATGCAAATCAATTTGGATCAAAGGGATTCGAAGTATCATGAATTTGTTATGTAGGTTGCTGAAGGATTCTATGAAAAAATATACACTTCTAAAATCTTTATAACCTTCGACTTGCACATCAGATAATATATATCTCATCAAGGCTAGGTTCTCCCGTATATATCCCGCCAGCAACCCAAATAATAATAAAAAAACACAGTTCAGTTTTGCAACTCAAAGAATATGTCATCAGATTCAAGTTCTTTTTTATTTGCCGTTAAAGAGTATACTTTCGTGTAATTTTATGTTCAAAAGTAAATACATACCTTTTACGTAAGCCCATTCTCATGTGCATTCTCTTTCTTGCGGGGATTCCAGGATTATCCTCAGCTTGCCACCACTGTCTAATATCGTTGCATAGTTCAGCTGCATCATTATCTCCGTTTTTAAGCATCTCTTCCTCCACGGATTCTGAAAAATGAGTTATTGCAACAGACACGGACATAGGATCTACAACTGCATCAACCATTGCCGGAGATAAGTGTGTATTACCACTTTTAGCAACCCTAAGCCAGGGCTTATTTGACAAACCTTCTAGGCCACCACGGCAACATTTCCGTCTAGTTCTTGTCAATAAATGGGTGGCATCAATACAGTGTACTTCGTTTTGACCCCTTTTTATGCTTTTTGATGGTGTATAAAATAACTCTGATGGAATAAGGTTATCGTCCTTCTCCATCACTTCGCAAATTAAGTTTGACGCATTTTGTCCGCCATGATTTCCTACGTAGTTCATGTTTGCACTCGCAAGATCAATATTGCTTTTTTCAAAATGTTTTTTTCTCCAGGCTGTCAATTCTTGGTCCCATACGTATTCAGCATATATAATATTAAGCTCATTTTTCTTATAGGTTTTTGATATTGTGTTAAATGCCAATTCCTTTAAAGTCTTTACTTTGTGAATTTTTGTTGATTTTTTCTTCCTGAAAGACATCTCGTTGTTATCTAAGCCAAATAAGGTTATCAGATGATTTAACTTATGCTGTTTGGTTGCTGTTTCTTTTATCTTATTCTTAATGTTAATACTATTAAAATACCTTATTACAATTCTCAGTTCACAATCCCTCATTTTGTTTAGTTTTTCTGCTGAGCCAAAAGAATCTAGTAAATCGGTTGGTACCTTTTTATCCCATTGCTTAGACTTGCTACATTTTTGGTCTGTTTTAATCATTGTTAAAATTGTACTAGCATCCTCAATGGTTATGTTTTCTATATTTTTACATATGTCATTTCTATTTTCATCTCCGAAAGAATTAGCATCTTCATTAGGCATATTATCTGAGTGATCTCTTATTATACTGTCAACAGTTATTTCATCAACGTTTAAACTTGAATCACTAACTTGTTCACTATCTTGACTCATATTGACTTTTGTTTGAATAACTTTGTTTTTCTTTTCTTGCTTTCTTTGTTCAAGTATCCGTTGTTCGAAAATTCTTTGCGAAAAAGTAGGTATTGGTTCATTACTTCGTGTTGTTGCTATGACTCTATGTTCACCCCTTAAGTCATCTTTTAATACCTCAAACTGCCATTTCGGATCCTTATTTTTCGTTTTTAGCACTTTTAAAATTTCAGATTTAGGCATGCGTTCTACACGTTTCCAAATGTCTTTCTGCAACTGCAGAACAGTTAGCGGTTCTCCGGATAAATCCCTCACACATATATTATGCCATTGTCCATCGTAGGAAATAGCCGGTATGTGTAATCCGTATGATTGACAGACACACAAAACTGTTTCAAGAATTCTAACCATTGTCTCTGTATCCAGACTATATCCTTTTGGGAACCAGCAAACTGGGGCACTGCGGATAGTATTGTCCCTCCATTCTCTATCTAAATCACAGCATAGAAATACAACTGCTTCTGTCGCTGGCTGACGGTTCAATTCATAGAACTGATCGTATGATTTAATTATATCCTCTATCAAAAGTTGCAGACGAGTAAGACGAAATTCAAGTCGGCAAGATTGTGTATCATAACTTGTGGCTGAAGTTAATGATGGAACAATGAACATGAATTTGATATTTTTACATTCTTCAATTATTTCTTGTTTGAGAGATTTTGAGTCTTCACATAGTTTCGTACATCTCTTAGGATTTTCTATTCCGTAAAGACGGTTTGCTAAATTAAACGCACGATCGAATAATGGTTTGTTTCGGTTAACTCTAAATACTGAGCTGATATCAGATTTCCAGCAGAGGTAAATTAAATGATCAACATCAAGTGCCTCAATCTCTGACAAGCATTGCAGAAGGTATCGTGGAGGCAATTCTTTATGTATATTCTGAACTGGACATTTCAATTCAACGGCTGCTATTGTTGAGCTTCCGTCCACCGAATCTTTTATGCTACCATCAGGGGAAATAATCATGAAAGGTTTCTCCTTAAACAATCCATATTCAACGTATCCTTCTTCGTGAACTACTTTATCAGGGTATAGAATTGGTAGAACTCTGCCGACAAGAGTTGCTGTAGCATTAACTTCATTTTCTGTACCATGTTTTAATGCTTCTTTGGTTTTGTCAGATTTTTCTTTGTCTGGGACAGCACAAACTACATTATCAAAATATTCCTTCTGGTTATGCAATCCATCTAACCCAATCGCTTTATATATGGTGCTCCCGGTAACTCTTGCTTCTTTACGTGCCTCAAACCAAGCTTGTGATCTCTGTTGAACCAATCTTGTATTCTTTTGGTCATTACTTATATTTTGTATTTTCACATACTGCCTGCTTTCTTCTAAATTAAGCGCCCTATTGTCTATATAACTCACTTTATTCATATATGCAATGCATTGAATCAGTTCTTCAAGTACATTATGTGCGTGTTCTAGATATGTGTCAATGTCATGGATATAGGAAATGGTTGCACTTATGGCATACACATATTTGCTATTTCTCCAGTTTGAATCGCCACTTTTTTCAATTAGTTTTTCTTTAGCATATACCTTTTTAATTCTTTTCTCTTTAATGTCAAGTATTTGCTTTGATATGTTTTTCAACGAGTTATGTAATAAAATTTCTAAATCAGTTAATTTGCTACTTGCAAGGTTATTTACTTCACAACTTTCCTCTTCAGATTTCAAATATGTTAACATTTCTTTCAGGGGATTCACAAGTATTTTTTGATTTCCTCTTTTTTCTTCTAAACTCATATCCTTTTCAAAACCTAAAAGATCTATGTCGCCATCAGTTTTTGTTAGACCTTGTTTTAACTTCTTACCATCGAACGTAATGCAGCAAGATTTTCCACTCATTGATTTGGAAAGCGACTCTATAATATCAAAAAATATTCCCGGTCTTCTTGAATTTGACTCGTTCGAAATCGAACCATATGGCAAATAATTCCTTAGAACATCTGTATCAGGAACAGCAAAATTAATGTTTGAATAACTTGTTGAAAATAATCCAGATTTTGCCGAGATATTATGTCCTGTATTTTTGTACCCGGACATAAAGTGTATAAATCTGCCTCCGAACATTCTGTAGCCTAATTTCCAGAATTTTTTGGTTTCATCAGAATATCGCATAAAACAAGTCCCTTTACAACTATACCATTTAACGACTTCAGACCATAATAGGAATGAAATGTTAGAAAGCGGAAATTCATTTTTACTGATCTGGCGAAAGAAATTTAGTAAAGTTTGATCAAAACCTTCTTTTGCCAATTTTGTTAAAACTGATGGCAATAATTCAAACATTTCATTTTCAATATCTCTTGTCTCAGACTCAAGGTGGTCTTCCATCCGAAAAATATCTTCATTTTCTTTTTCATCACAAATATGTTTTGCATTTTCAGATAAGTTTCTTTCTTTGTCACTATCGAGAATAGTCATGAGACATTTTTTGGCCTTTTTCTCATTTGGAGATTTTGACGGTGTTTTTTCCTTGCTTTTGTGTGGGGATCTGTAAGCAAGTCTTTTGATTCCATGTTTTGGTGACTTGAATTCTTGCATTGAAATTTTAACGGGTGTCGTTTTCGGTACCAATAACAACTCTTTTAATACCTGCTGTATTTTACTTGTATTTTTTCTTCTAGTTTTAGGCTTGTGAAGTGTTAGATTTGTTTTTTGTTTCATCCTGAAAAAAATAAAACAAGGTCATAACCTGAACCGCTGAAAAAGATCATTACTTGATAACAATATATATATTAAAATTTTGTTAATAATAAGTAAGTCACTAGGTACAATTTTGCAATATCATGGTTATATTTAATTAAAAAATGTAATTGCAATGGCTAATTTTTTTAACGTTTAAAGACACGAAGCTTTAAAAATAACTTTTAATTCAGTAATGTATGTCATCTTTTTTCACATCTCACCAAAACTGACATGCGGCAACTTTCCAGTTTTTACAAGTGCCTCTTTGGGTATAAATAAAGGTACGAACGGGCACCTGAGTAGAACGACCGACGTTCTGTAAGCTTGTTACAAAACTTTCTCACATGAAAAATCGAAAGATCACAGTCCCTTGTGGTCTCGAACCTACTTCATGCAGTATATAAAATGGAACGCTGCCTCCAAAATCCATAGCTTTTGACTGACAAAATGGGTATTACTAAAAGATCATTTCATTTTTAACACAAACACGCATGCACACATATTCATGAGCTCATGTTTTTAACGGTCCTTTAAAACAATTTTTTCATGGTTTTATTTCATAATTATGATGCTCAAATTACGATTGATCAATATTGTAAGTTCCAAAAGGTTTTATTTATAAAGATATTACCGCATTTAACATATCATGCAAATTAAATTTCATGTAATTAACATAAAACTATTTTCTATAAAGTCTTAAGTCAAATGTTTCAATAAGAAATGAATGCATATATTTTAATGATTACATATAATGTGCACAAATATTTGCAGTACATATTTTACATATTCTTCGATATTTGAAAATTGTTTTATCTGCATAATTATATACATATATAAAATTTCACTTCAGCGTGGTAACAACCGCGCTTGCAACATACAGGATCTTTAAAGCATCTCTAAATGAAATTTGGTCATTTACAATAAGTTTTGTGAGTTATAACTACAATGAAAAAGAAACTTAGAGAGTCCAAGCTAGGCATAATTTTACCAAAAGGTCTTATATGTGTATGTACCAGTGTTACCTTGAACATTAGTTATATAACAGGACTTTTTCTCATATGAGTTCTTCAAATTATCCGGCTTTTAATTTTGATTGCACGTAAAACTTGTGCTAAAACAACACATAAACATTAAAAGTGTTTATCAAAATCGTATTTCTTAAAAAAAATATTTCAAATGTCTACTTTTGTTTTCTCAAATTACTATGATGACTTCTTCGACAATAACTTGTATAATATTAACATGTTATAGCCAAATATTAATTGCGCAACATTTAAATTTGAATTGTGCGCGACGTACTCCCAAACTGTTCTTTTGTTTTTGAATAATCCTGTTTACATCAAGCTGTAAGCTTGATGATAGACTGCAAAACAAGTCCCAGGGTCAATAACATATAAAACTATGGAAAAAAATCACTCACATTTAAATTAAAATTAAATTTTCATATATTCTATTAAGAATTATTTCAGACAGAAATTTGGTGTGTACCGTATCTTTTGAAATAACAGTGTGTTCCGTACCATTTCAGCAATACTTTATGAAAAGGTGCTAAAATATCACTGCATTCACTCAATACGTTGGACATAGTAAATATATTATATTTAACATGTATTTTTCTATGAAATAGAGACAAAAAGCAAAAGACTTGCTAGAAATCGCTTGTTATGACAAATGAGTGTGTACCGTTCCCCTCGGCCCCGGCTATGAAATGAAAACTGTACTCGAATGTTCTCAAAAACCATTCAGGGGTTTTCAGAATTTTGATATACCGTGGAAAGCTGATATAATTACGGGTACTCTGCGCCTTATCTGATCAAAATCGGTTAAGTAATAAATAAGTTATAAATAAAAAACATACCTGAATCGGGTGAAAAACCGCCGTGTTCCGTACCCAAAAAGTCACGTGGTATGGCCACATTGGGTTATTAGGCTTTTAAACCTCAATGGAGTCCCTTTAACAAATGTCAAGTACGTGTTAAATAATATTTCAGTTCTTTCATAATGTTCTCTTCAGTTTACTTTTCCCCCAGTTTGCAATGTTTCTACTACATATGTTATCTAATTACTGACTAACCTATGATTGGCAAGCTGCACTTCAGCGCCTGAGTTTAATAAAATGATTTTATCGATTAACCATTCAACACGTCAGAATTGCATTGTATGAAGCGGTTTGCGCGGTTCAACCTTGTTAAGTAATGAAATTTCCTGAATTATAACTATAAGTATCAGAAATGTCGTAACCTACCGGAGGAGACTGAAATAAATTCAGTTCTCATATATAAAGGAATTTGGCAATAAATAATATAGCACTTTAATAGCTTACATTTTACATAATAAAATTAATGTATATACAGATAACAGCTTCAACAAATAGTAAGTTTTTGATTGATACATAAATATACCCAATCCTTTTGATACTTGACTCTTAACGCTTTATTGACTTGTATTATATCGTAATTTGTCGGGATTTACAGGGACAATATTGTCCGATTTAGATTAAATACCAAGGACACTATAAAATTATATTTAGTAAGTAATGTTAGGAATTTATATTTCAAATTCTTTTACATTACTATTTGAATCAAATCAAAACTTTTAGAAAATATTAAGTCCCAGTAAATGTTTTTATAACGTCCTCCTGTTAAGGTACCTCCACCCTTTTCATAAAATAAGTTTATTATTTATTGTTTATTTTAAATTTTGATATTTTTATGCATGCGACGTATATTTTACGAAGCTAAAAAGATTAACAATATAAACATATACGGATTTATATACAGATAGTTTGTTTGTTGTAAATTGCACTTTGATTGCTTACATAAATCAGGCTATGAGCATAACAACTATTTTCGTACCATCGTAAGGTTACAAAACAAACACTCATACTAGAAACACAAATTGAAACTGACATCTTACATATCAGAGATGAACAGGCGTTACAAGAAAATGCTGATCAGAAGGTAGGTAACACAAATAGCTGTCTCAAAAGATAGGTTCTTAAGGAAAATCTAGGAAATATATACATTGTTTGTTACATACAAAAACGACTGACTTACCTTTTTATTGTGTCTGCATCTACATGCGAGTAATACTTTCATAGCTTATAGTTAGGTTACTTGTCACTATATTTAATGTTTTATGCGTTTAGGTTAAATAATTAGTATCAACATCTCCAACAGAGAAAGGGTTCAATTGGTTAATATGCAGCGCAAAATATTGCGTAAAATATTGTAAGCAAAAGGACTCGACTGGCAAATGCTTGACAAGTGATTCATACGAGAAATAAAAAATCATTCGTAGCTTCTTTTTCTGCAATGGCTACTGGAAAATAAAAAAAACGTACCCGGTATTGATACACATACTTTATACTGAAATGTATCTTCTTTAATAAAGTGATTGTGTTCTTAATTACATTTCGATTCGGCTGTTATTTTCCACTTATTATAATATAAAAAGGTATTTCAAGTATCGATATAATGTTTATTAAAGATCTATGTAACTTTATTATCAACATGATATTTATTGCCAGCACAATGTCTATATTAATTCCACTTATATTAGAAATACACCTGAACGTGTTTCACGCGCATGAATCTTGTTTAGTAACACATTAACCCGAATTTGTTTGCAATTTCTATAATAGCATAATTCCGACTGTAGGCTTTTGATACATTCCTTCATGCATTATGTAAATAGGTGGGAATTTATTACCACAGGGGTTCGCATAATGTGAATTGTATTTTACTCAGTTGATTTCTATTTTCATATTCCTATAGGTAATTGAATCAAATACGCATAAATTGAGTAATTCGGCTTTTGATTAAACAATCCCGAATTAAACATAGTTTTGCTTATAGTTATATTATTAATACAAATGTTAGCTTTAGTAAAGTTATGTGGGCAAATTGGGTTAATACTATCCTCTGATAAACTGATGTGTTTTTGAAGCAAATATGTCAAAAATGCATGCACGTATAAAGACATACGTATATTTTAGAAAACTGTACAATAAACATTAATTTTTTAATTGGGCATTTATGAAAGCAAAGTTTATTATTTGGTTTGTGTTGTAAGTATTATCTTCTTTAACCAGGAACATATTTATTATAGGGTTTCATTATCTTAATTAAGTAAAGTCGAGTTTAATTGTTCGATGTGCAAATTATTTCAACGGAAACTATAACAGAATGTAGCAAATATATTTTTTATTAATTATTCGATTGTGCTGAAACAAACCAAAGATCGGTTGACCCTCGGTATGCACAATCAAGGAATGTAAAACTGATTTTTATTTTTGACTTAAATATTGGGTTCTTATTTCTATAGCAAAAGTCACAACATTTTTTATTGCCTTAACGTATAAACACCTTTAAAATAGTTTGAAATGATGCACATGCAAATATTTTAATATCGTCTAAAAATTTATTTAAAAACTGCCTGAAGTTTCTAGGAAAACTGAGCAAAAGAAGGAGAAGATAGTTTATGTATATATTTGTTTGGAAACTGTATCAAGATACAAAAATAAAAGAAAAGGAGAAATAAAACTTATAGCAGTTCTGAAGCATGATAAGCCTTTAAATACACATGGAAAATATCGTCTCAAATCAGACAAATACTATCAACTTATGTTTTTTTAGATCGTAAGAAAAAATATTTTTTTGATAGTGCAGGTAGATGTTTTACCATAGTTCCAATTCTGCTATGCTACTTAATAGAACATATGTGCAACATCAAACAATTTATAGCTGACAGATATATGGCGAATTTCAGAGTGCATTGTACATGAGCATTTGCGTGAGGTGAAAAGTATGTTACAACTTTCTTAATAAATATTAAATATAAAAGAGTAGTCGTTTATTGCAAAAAAAAAACAACAACTAAAAACATCAGTCAACATAGATTTTATTAAAGTAATAACTACATTGCTCTGTGTCAACTTCTTTACAAATCTCATTTCTTCCAAGTTAAATGGCCAATCAATGTGTTCACTGTACGAGTTTTTAACTAAGATGAGGTCAACTTGTCAATAAGCAATTTGGTAGTTATTTGATAACGAACCAATTCCGAACACATTTACTGTTTTGTTTCGAAAAAGTTTTGTATGGGTGAAGGCAGAGGGCTTAATGGCAGTTTTGCTTCGTTTAATTGAATTCAACTTATCATAGATCAGCTGGAGCACTAAAAAACGGCAAGATGTGCAAAAACAATTGAAGAATATACTAAGAAATACATTGAAATCTGTATTCTTGTGAATCTGTAGCCAACTGCAGTTAAAACGTTGCAATGCTCTTCGATTTTGGGTAATTTTAAACATAACAATTATTCCGGAAAAACGGAAGGTGCGGAGGGAAACAATATTCACATATGATAGGAAATGTCCCTTGCAACGTTATTTTATTACTATAATTGATGCGCATACACTTTATTTGTTTCCGGAAAAATCAGTTAATAAAGAGCTTGATATATATGTATGTATTGAACACAATCATGTTAAAATTACAATTTAAAGGACAAAAATGATTCAAACTGATTTTCTATCTAAAAGTTATTATATGGGTCTAAGTGACTCAGCAACAAAGTCTTCTAGATCTGCTTATTGTCAGAGTGTTTATAGATAAAAAGAGCGCAGATTGTATTTGTTTTAAACTATCTAGGTCTCCAAAATGTTCATCTAAACTCATTGTTTGCGCTTTCAAATCAAAATAACTGATTCTGAGCCAATTATGCCTTCAAACATTATGGTAACGTTCTCAGCTCTTCAGTTTATTTCCCCTCTGATCCTCTGATTGCAATGTTTCCAATATATATGTTATATAATTACCGAATAACCTATAATTGACAAGCTGCACTTCAGCGCCTGAGTTTAATAAAATGGTTTTATCGATTAACCCTTCAACAAGTCAGAAATGAATTGAATGAAGCGGTTTGCGCGGTTAAATCTTGTTTAGTAATGAGATTTCCTGAATAAGATATATGTATCAGATATGTCGAAACCTTCTGGATGAAAGTGAAATAAATTCAGTTCTTTTTTATAAAGGAATTTGGCAATAACTAATATAACACTTTAATAGTTTACATCTTACATTATAAAATGATTGTGTATATAGATTACAGCTTCAACAAATATTTATTTTGTGATTTCGTAATTATACCAAAACCTTTTGATATTTGACTCTCAACGCTTATTGACTTGTATAATAATTTGT